ACATACCCATGCACGGACGTGCGCACATACCCATGCACGGACGCGCGCACATACCCATGCACGGACGCGCGCACATACCCATGCACGGACGCGCGCACATACCCATGCACGGACGTGCGCACATACCCATGCACGGACGTGCGCACATACCCATGCACGGACGCGCGCACATACCCATGCACGGACGCGCGCACATACCCATGCACGGACGTGCGCACATACCCATGCACGGACGCGCGCACATACCCATGCACGGACGCGCGCACATACCCATGTACGGACGCGCGCACATACCCATGCACGGACGCGCGCACATACCCATGCACGGACGTGCGCACATACCCATGCACGGACGCGCGCACATAAACCTGTCCTCCTACAAAGAACGTCGCATTTCGCTCGTATGCGTTACATAAGGCCAAAAATTGTCGTACTAGAAGATGCAAGCGGCTGGCGAAAGTGACGTACTGTCCCGTTTTCTGTTTTGAGTCCTCTGGTAGGTTAGGAGAGACCACTTTAAATTGACCGTTTACTGGCTGTTGGGAAACTTTAGGAGGACGGGCTGCACACATACCCTTGCATGGACACGTAAACGTTCTCATTGTTGTGTGAAATAATTGCCTTTGAACATTTGACCAACCAGAAGCGTTTAGGTACACCACAAATTACCCTATAATGGCCAAGACGCAATCTTCTGTTAATACCACAAAGTAGCTTCCATGATAATTCTTATTTTCATATTGTATTTGCGTTAATTTATTGGTCTGTATTGATGTTCATGATTTAGAGGTAATTTTGGAATCTCGTTTATAACTTTGTGTGGGACGAGTTAGCCGGAGAACCTGTTCTTCTGGCGCTCGTCCGGTTGTGGGCTAGGCTTGGGGGGAGCTGGTGGGGTCAGCAATGTTGGGGACTCCTGGATAGACCTGGGCACCTTATACCCATCCTGTGGGCGGTAGTGAACCTCATACCCATCCCGTGGGTGGTAGTGGACCTCAAGCCCATCCTGTAGGCGGTAGTGGAAAAGGGCATATATAGAACCCAGTGGCATATATAGGCTCAGGAACTAAACCCCAAAATTCATTTATCTAAGCAAGTTACACAGCTAATTGTATATAGACAATGGGTTGGAGAACATCTGCCCGGGGAGTGGAGGGAGGATGTGACGCACAGGGAGTGGTGTAGGGAGGGGGTACACTCCCCGGCCTCACCCACACATGGACCCCACACTCACCCAACCTGAGGCAGCTAGTTGATTGTAGGACCTGCCCACCCTGGCTTGCATGCTGGAGGTCTAGGACCTGCCCACCCTGGCTTGCATGCTAGAGGTCTAGAACCTGCCCACACTGGCTTGCATGCTAGAGGTCTAGAACCTGCCCACACTGGCTTGCATGCTAGAGGTCTAGAACCTGCCCACACTGGCTTGCATGCTAGAGGTCTAGAACCTGCCCACACTGGCTTGCATACTGTAGGTCTAGGACCTGCCCACCTGGCTTGCATGCTAGAGGTCTAGGACCTGCCCACCCTGGCTTGCATACTGTAGGTCTAGGACCTGCCCACCCTGGCTTGCATGCTGTGGTGTTAATTTTGCAACGATGCTCATAACTGAACGTGTCACAACTCTCTCGTGGTATGTTGACCTTACAGTCCCACCGGCACGTCTTAGCACATTATCTTGATAAAACTGGGTCAAATATTATGGGGTATTTCCCCGAGACTTTCCGGTAACATTCCTTCCATCCGGCACTTGTAATCTGGCTCCCTTGGACAAAAATGTTTCACAATGTTGTCTGGATGACAAACTCGTTTATGGCTTCTTATAAATGTATTATTTTCATTCTTATCACTCTAGTACCGACTTAAGACATCTTAGCGAGACTGTCCCGTTGTTATTAGCTCACCAATTACTGAAGTATGAGTTCGTACTTAGAGTGAGATGTTTTCGTAATGTATGGCTGGGAGTAAACAAATGTAACACTAGGCTAGCAACGCCTTAATCCTGGCAGTTCTTCAGATTCAGTCCGTCCTCCTGTTTATATAGTAATTACAGTAACGATGAGGACCGTCGTGCTTATATTGACGTAACAGGCAATTAGAAAGTAGAAATCGGTACTACTAACAGGAAAAGTTTTTGTATTGATGTTGCAAAGAAAACTTAACGTAACTATCCAAAGCCTAATACACGCTATCTGAGGCCTAATATAGTTCTGTACATATGTGTTATTCTAATCCTAGGAATATTTAAGTTTGGTTTTTACCTTTTTTCGGACTATGTAAAGTGAACAGTATCAAATTCTACTATCTAATTGTCCATTACGTCTATTTATGTAAGATGGTCCACATAATTACAAAAAGTACTATCTAAACCGGAGGATGAGTTGCATTTCTTAACATGAAACAAGAGATGCTAAGGTTCGTTATTTTATATGAAAGGCAATATTCATTATTTCGTCTGCAACTTCGTTACTCCGGTGACATTTTTTTAGCAACAGGAACTTCGCCGTGATTTCAACAGCCTCGGCGTTATCCTGGTTGGAAATGTCTTTGTCCACCCACCCTGGGGGCGCACCCGAAAAATGGGTCGTCAACGCCCCTAAATCAACACCCCACCCTTAATAATCTAGGACCTGCCCACCCCACCCTTGGCAGTCTAGGGCCTGCCCACCTAACCTTTCGCAGTCTAGGATCTGCCCACCTAACCTTTCACAATCTGGGAACTGTTTACCCCGATTTGCATACGCTAGAACCTTCTTAACCTGTCTTTAAACTATGGCCTTCCCATCCTAACCTGCATACTCAAAGGGATGTGCCTTTCCCGATTTGCAGTTTAGGACCTGCCCGCCCTGACCTGCATTTTCAAATGACCTGCCAACCCATACTCTCATATCTTACTTCAGTGTAAGGCATCTAACACCTTCAGGTACTCGCATAGGTCCCCTGCATTTTGTTCATGTTTGGTATCCAAACGTGTCTTGATTCGACTCCTAACTGAAGATTGCCGAGCGAGTGTTGAGACATCAGCGAGCCGTTCCCGCCTGGGGCCTGGGAGTTTGCCAGAGGTCTCAGGTGACTAGGGGACACCTGAAGGTCACCTGGAGGAGGCGAACATTAGGTGACTCACCCAGGTGCATTCCATGGGATATGCCAAGGGTCCCATGTGGCTAGGGGACACCGGAAGGTCACCTGGAGCGGGTGAGAATCTTAGTGACGCGGGTGCATATCAAGTGTCAGAGGGTAGCAGCCACTGCCTAGTAGGCTGGGCGACATGGGGGTGTTGGCTCATGCTGGTCACAGATTATCTGACTAAGAATATTTTACCACACAGCCTCGTCTCGTGTACAGCCCCTGGAGATGTGAGCTCACGTGGGAGTAGCGCCACAACACTTGTAGCCTCTCTCACCCAGATGTTCAGTTATTAGGCTGCAAATCTCACCCTTCTACAATGTTCATATGAGCAAATATATATAATATCATTTTGAACATAGTTGTATACCAAAATGAACTCTCGGTATAAATACATCGAGAAGCTGAATATAGCTCTCGGTGTCTATATAACCTTGCATATGAATCGATAAACTGAACCTCAGTTGGTTAGCCAGTAACCCTTTGATGGGCCTTAAACCTAACAACACGTCAAACCATCGCTTTTACTCCGTGTTTATATTGTTTATATGAAGACCTATTTAGTTATGTAATGTGTTCCCAAATAAAATGTGAAAGGTTCTTTCTATGTGTAATGTGAGCTTGTTGGTCGACATCCATGAGTATATATATATATATATATATATATATATATATATATATATATATATATATATGTCGTACCTAGTAGCCAGAACGCACTTATCAGCCTACTATGCAAGGCCCGATTTGCCTAATAAGCCAAGTTTTCATGAATTAATTGATTTTCTACTACCTAACCTACCTAACCTAACCTAACCTAACTTTTTCGGCTACCTACCCTAACCTAACCTATAAAGATAGGTTAGGTTAGGTTAGGTAGGGTTGGTTAGGTTCGGTCATATATCTACGTTAATTTTAACTCCAATAAAAAAATTTGACCTCATACATAATGAAATGGGTAGCTTTATCATTTCATAAGAAAAAAATAAAATAAAATATATTAATTCAGGAAAACTTGGCTTATTAGGCAAATCGGGCCTTGCATAGTAGGCTGAGAAGTGCGTTCTGGCTACTAGGTACGACACATATATATATATATATATATATATATATATATATATATATATATATATATATATATATATATATATATATATATACATATACACACACACAAAACGAGGGGTGCCCGGGATAGTGTGTCTCATCCTTCCCTCTCTATTTCACCCCTCTCTTTTTACCTCTCTCTCTCTCTCTCTCTCTCTCTCTCTCTCTCTCTCTCTCTCTCTCTCTCTCTCTCTCTCTCTCTCTCTCTCTCTCTCTCTCTCTCTCTCTCTCTCTCTCTCTCTCTCTCCCTCTCCCTCCCTCCCTCCCCGCTTCACTCCCATCTTCCGACCCCTCTTTCCCCAACCTAGGATAGACACACGTTTCCAATTATGTATGTAGAAAGGGTACCTGCCTGCACCCGGATCTCTTAACCTCCTCTTTCCATCCTTTCCAAATATTCTTTACCACCATCTTCCCCCTTGTCACCAACCCCTTGATCCCTGCTTCGTCCCTCTCCTCCCCTACTGCCTTCCTTCCACTTCTCAGAAAATTTATTTATTTTGAAGCACTGAAACAACTCTATGGGTCTCTCAGTAAATATATGTTTATGATGAGTAAAACCTCTATGGGAATCACACCATATATTTCACGCTTGACTCCATGAAAATCGCATGAGGGTGTTTATAAATGCTAATATTTCTTAAAACATTCAACTTAGGCCTACCCTTAACCAGCCTATCTTTGTCCCGTTCCTTAGCCCATTTCCCCTGCTAATTTGAGTAAGTCTAGTCCCCCCTCCATGTGCCTGGCCTCTAGCTTAGGACAGACATTCTCTTATAGATAAAGATTTATATCTTCATTTTATTCCAGACTCACCGATTTCTACTTCACATTTTGTGGGTTACTATAATATTATGTTCTTGTATCTTTGGTACAGAAGGGTGAACGTCTTGCCCCTGCTGGTGCTGCTGTTACACCTGCTCTCTGCAGCCTCTCAAGCGTAAGTCCCATTTTTATTGAGAACACAAGAAACATTTCAGTAAGCCTACTGGCCCTTCCTTGAGTGGCTAACCTTGCAGAAAGTCTACTGGCTCGTGCAAGGAAGGCCAATTGTTTTCACTCATGCATCTATCTTATTTTTAAAACTTTCCAAATTATATATCATATAAGCATATAATGATCCTACTTGGCAGTGTGTTCCAATTATCTAAGACTGAGACCAACCAGTATGTTCACAAATATCCCTTTGTCCGCGTTACATCCATAGATATAAATTCTATCTATGTATATAGCTTCACCACCTTGTTTATGGTCTCTTTGTTTATGCTTTTCAGCCGTTTCTGCACTTCAGTCTTGCCTCCCCTCGTTTTGCACATTTCAATAGAATGTAGCTGTAGTTCTCTGAGTGTCTTTACTAGAAAGATTCATGATGTTTGGGATTATCTCTCTCAATGTTTGGTTAGTGTCTTCAAGAGGATTTGCCCATTCTGAATTGAGGCATCATTTGCATATCATGCAATGCATTATAATCGATGAAATCTATTCAATTCAATTACATATTTCTATTTGTTGGAGGAATATAGAAAAAATAATACATTTTGCATGAAATTCTAGCAAAAAAAAAGATACTTAAACAATGCTTTAAAAAAAGTTTGTATTTATTGAAAATGATGTGCTTGTTTGTTCACAAGGAGTTGATGACAATTTGGAACACAACAGGTAGACAATGGTACTCTCATATGTAGTGCTTGTTTCTGTCTTTCGTTTTTATTTGAGTTAATTTGGAAAATCCCAGTTCACACAAATAAGTAGTAGTACAAGCTAATAGTATCAAGACAGCCTTTTTACTTAAAAGTGGAAGTTAATTTAATTGCTCCAAATCATTCTTCAGTGTCAATGAACTACTAAGATGCAACAATTCAGCACCACACGCCTGGTAACACGTGTACCATCAGTCTTGTAAACTGCAATGATGAGTAATGAGTGTAAATAAGATTGTCTCTCTCCATTGCTGATTTTTTTTGTGGAATTTTTCGGTTTGTCGCGACCCATTTTATTTTGTGACGCGCTCGGGACCCGCAGTTTGGAAAAACCCTGGTCTAGACCACATAGTTAAAGGTCAACCTTCACAAGCGCCATTAGCTAAGTACAACCAGCTGAATTAAAACAAACATCAATTGGTGTGCAGATGAACATAGCGCTAAATAAACCTAATCGGTTCACGTACCTGTGTCCAAGGTAAGCGATTCCTGTTTCTGGCCCGAGGTTTAACCGGTTCCTGTACTTGGTTCCACGCCAAACCAGTTCCTGTATTTGGCTCCGGGCCTAACCGGTTCCTATACCTGGCCCCAGGCCTAACCGGTTCTTGTACCTGACTCTACGCCTAATCCGTTCCTGTACCTGGCCCGGACCTAACCAGTTCCAGTACCTGGCCCCAAGCCCAGCCACTACAAAGGTTTTATCTAAGTAGGGTTCACAAAGCAATCTATTCTAAGGTTGGTTTTCCTAATGTTGCAGCAGAGGATTACAGATGATTACACAGGAACTGGTACAAGTAATCTCATTATAATACAAAGGTATTATATATATATATATATATATATATATATATATATATATATATATATATATATATATATATATATATATGTATGTATGACAGTGTCAGACCACGGAGGAAGAATTGAATCAGGAATTTCCTAAAGTACTTTCGTATATTAATACATCTCCAGAAGAAATTCCTTCTGAAGATATATATATATATATATATATATATATATATATATATATATATATATATATGCGGAAAATCCACAGAGAAATATGAAATGAGGTGAACGTTTCGGCTTTGTTAAAGCCTTTGTCGTTCCGAAACGTTCACCTCATTTCATATTTCTCTGTGGATTTTCCGCATAAAATGATCAGTGTTTTGTGATCGTCAATTGCATATATATATATATATATATATATATATATATATATATATATATATATATATATATATATATATATATATATATATATATATATATATATATATATACCCGACAAAACTCACGCATGTCTATAACTGAAAACTGATATATTATTATTTTATCATAATTGATTTGTTCTTGAACGTATATTAGTTCTACTTTTATTAGTGCTAGTAATAGTACTTGTTCTAGTACTACTAGTTTTACTACTAATAATAATAACAATAATATTAATGAAAACGTTATAAATTTAATATCACTATGATAGCACTTGGACTGCCATGTACTGTACAGTTTCCTGAACAATCTGTGTAACGTGTAAATAATACAGTGACAATGAACTTGGTAATATTATCACGGCTAGCAAGTTCAAGAGCTCTCTAGTGTTGAAATACCCGTTTAATACCTGGTGCTTTAACGGACGGGTTTTTTTTTCACAATACCGAAGACAGGTTAAAGCTTGAAGATTGACATTCATGTTTTTACAATGAAAGGTCAATGTATTACAAGATGATGCTTCTTTATCTCCACCTTACGTTGAAGTAAATTTCACCCTCCGAGAGCTAGAGTATAATGCCATCTAATCTAGTTTTACTTCAATATTATAGTTATATAATGAAACTATACATAATATCGACTAAAAAATTTTTGCATTGTTTACGAGCCGTATGATAAATGGTCTTTAAGGATCAAACAAACTGTTGTTAGCAGTATCAATAAATATACGAAGGTAAAGTGGCAACATTGGGACAGCGAGGATTGATAACATCGTGGAGGAAATCGTCTGCATTTCTTTACAAGATCCCGAAACTTTTAAGAAATTTCCTTTGTTGTTCAAATATCACATAACATATATGTAATTTGAGTGAAGCTTTGAGAAAATGCTTTAGATGTTTGTGTTATGATTCCTATCCACAATAATTGGAAATGAAAGCGTGTTTGATGCGCACATGTGTGTACTCCGTTAGTACAGTCTGGGCTCTCCAGTCAGCTTAGCGGGTGGACTATACGCTCTGTCAACATCCTCCTCCTTGACTAACTGTACTAAATAATGTGAGTACGTCAGGGAATCCCTGTAGCCATTACATTCCCTGTAACCATTACATTCGCTGTACTCATTCCCTGTAGCCATTACATTCCCTGTACCTCATTACATCACCATGTAATGATTATACACACCGTAGTGGACTTGTGATCACTCCCGTCGCTTAGATATATTATCAATATTTTCATTATTTCTGTCAACTTCTCCAGATAACGATAGCGTAATCCTGCACTACCACACACACTCAACGTTGCCTCCCAGGAAATGTATATTATTTTCTTTTGATATTTCTGCTGTATAAGTTTTGTTGAGCAAAGACTGGTTGGAAAATAACGCAACAATTGTTGATTATTATCAGGTATATTGGATCGCTGACTCAGGAATATTAGAGAAACAATTGGAATGGCTGGCACACGCAGATGTGAATGTGTGTGCTACTTGCACACATCTTTTAAAAACTGATTATGTTGTGTGTATGTAAATCCTCCATCAGATCTGGAGGAAACAACCTCAGGACATAGAACGTGGCAGGTGTGGGGGGGAGTGTACGTTGCAGGTGTAGGGTGAGTGTACATCGCAGGTGTGGGGCGGAGTATACATGGCAGGTGTGGGGGAAGTGCACTTGGCGCAGCCTGTCCTCTCAAGCGTTCATAACGTCACAAAATTGATGTATTAAACTGCCAGCACCAAACCCAACCGAGGACCTACCGATATAAAACGGAATATCACGTCAACTTTGCGAAGAACACTGAAAAGAATTACTGAACAAAAAATTGTACCACTTACGGGCTATTCATGCCCGTGCCACCTCTTGGGTGACTTAATCTTTATCAGTCATCAACTTTGCGAGTCGCTATTATGTTTAGTACACCAGTTTGTGGCCTCGGGGGATGGGGGAGATCTATACGTTAACGTGTGATGTACTTACTGTTGGAGAGGCCAGGGTGGGTGGCGGGTGGACAAGCCTAGCCTAACTTCAGAACTTCAGTAATATATTACATCAGTCATATTTTTGTAAGATTATAATGTGTTTCAGAATTACTAACGTATTAAAGTACCAAAATTATATTTTTCTCCTAATTATAATGGTATTAAATGATTGTAAAGTCAGAAAACAGAAAAACTGGTGCTTTTATGTTTTATTTTAACAAACTGAGGGAGGGGGGGGGGGGTTTGTTCTACTTTGCACTTTAACTGAAGGGGATTTTGTCGAATGGGATTTTGTCCTTAGTGGGTTTTGTTTGGGCCCCGCACATGGCATACTTAAACATGGCTCCATATGAACAAGAATGTAACTTGTTCATTCTTGTAGTTGTATAAGAATGTAACAACTCTTGTATATATCTAAAAAAAAAAAAAAAAACCGTCCGTACTAAATGGTGGTGTTATTGCGTATATGGTGATGTTAAGGTGTGTAGCCTCTGCCAGCCTCTCGTGCTTGGCTCCAGGTTGTGTCAACTTCCCTATTCACATTCTCTGGTGTATATCAGGGTTGAAGTCTGTTAGCCATTTATATGACCTTCCTTAAGTCTTGATCAGTAGTAGTAGTTAAGTAGCCTAAGCTATTCTATTCCTTTGAGATGTATTTCTTTCTTATCTCAATAAACATACTTGAACTTGCTGTTTTTACAAACTGTTTTATGATAATTTAATTTTGTATAATGTGCGTGTATTAGCTTGTCTTTAAATAGTAGTCAGGACCTATACTCCTCAGCCACAGATCATGTATGTAGAGACTTGACAGTGATGTTTGCATCTCAGGGTCCAGGAGTACAGCATCGACACCACCTGGAATGGGGGCCCGCTGGACCACACGCCGGTGCAGGTGTCCCTCTCAGGGAGTGCTGACCAGCAGTACCTGGAGGTCAGCATCACCGCCCCCTTCTTCAACGACCCGCCTGCTCCCCCGGGCCCACCTGGACAACCTTTCTACGGTCTCTGGGATTATGAAGGTGGGCCTTCACTCCCTCACTCCCTCCCAGAGTCCCATCCATCCTCCCTTACTCCCTCAGTCCTCTTGCGTAATGATCTTTTATGAGCGTTTCTGGTACATAGGTATATTTTATAACATGTTAAATATAGCAACTGATCCTGTGAAATTTGGGCTTCAATAAAAAATTTTAAAGGTAGAACGAGTGTCACAGTGCAGGTATTGTTGGTAACATGAGCTTGTAAAATTAATTATTTTGAATCGTCAGTAGTCATGTGCAGGGAGTATCTGCTTCTTGTTCTGAGGGAGACGATTTGATCCTGAGCTGGGTTGAATTGTATTCCCCCCCCCCCCCCCCCCACACACACACGCACTTTACCCCTGTAACACGCACGCGCGTGCGTGGTTACAAGGGGAGAGTCGGTTATAGATTATCCAGCTGGAATAAACTGATTCCTTTTACTGATAAGATTAATAAGATAATTTAGACATGATGTGATAGTAAGAGGCTACAAGATTACCTTGTCAAGTTGAATAAATGATTCACAAAATGGTTTCATGAGCTTAACACCACTAAATGCAAAGCTAGGTGTAATGAGCAGAGGCCGGACCCAAGGAACCAACAGGGAGAAGAAATTTTTCAGGAATCGAGTAGAGAAAATAATCTTGGGATCGATATCACCAAAACTATTTTTTGAAGCCTATATCAGTATAGGATATATTCAGCGACGCATACTAAACTGACCAACAAAAGAACTGTCTTCAGAAATTTGTGCAAGGAATAATTTAGAACCTTGTATGTCGCATATGTCAGACGAATACTGGAAAATGCAGCTACAGCGTACGTAATCTTGTACCCCAGATTCGAGAGGTACAAGTTACGAGGAAAGGCTGCAGAAATTAAGTTTCACTTAGCTGGAAGACAGAACATTTAAGGGAAATATGATCACCACATACAAAATTCTCAGGGGAATTGACAGCGTAGATAAAAAACAAACTATTTTCCACAGGTGGTACTCGCACAAGGGGACACAGGTGGAAATTGAGTACTCAAATGAGTCACACAGACATAAATACTTTTTCAGTGTCATTGTAGTTAACAAATGGAATGCACTTAGAAGTGGTGTGGTGGAGGCAGACTTCAAATAGTTTGAAATGAAGGTATGACAGAACCCAATAAACTCAGGAACCTGTAAACCAATAGATTGGCAGTTGAGAAGCGGGATCAAACAGCTCATCCCCCACAAGCACAACTAGGTTAGTACACATATGCACATTCACATATGATGCGAGCATAAACATATTTACACAAATATATATTTGTTGTGTATGTGAATTGAATGATAATTCAGAGAGGTAAAAGATATCGTATACTGTTTGTTTGGTTCTTTGGGGGTGCACAAGAAGGCTATATCAATGATGACCTATAGCTATATAGCCGTAATGCTATAGGAATGCTATAAGAGATAATGCTATATGCGTAATGCAATATAATAGACGAAGCAGCGGCGGGTGATGTGACTAACACCTGCCTCTCTCCCCTGGACAGTGGTGGAGGTGTTCTTCCTCAACGACCAGGACCAGTACGTGGAGGTGGAGGTGTGCCCGTGAGTACTGGCGTCCTGTGTGCACGCCGCCTCCTCTATCCCACCCTCATACACTTGTATTTCTCTATACATATTAATGCAAATATGCTCATTTGAAGTCTCTTTATCAGTAATGTAATATACTCCAAGACAATTCCTAGCTGCTGCTTATTGGCTTTCAGGTCAGTTTATGCATATATATACATATTTCTTTCCATCTATTCCATCCCATTTTCCTACTCTCTTCCCTTCCACAAGCCTTCATTACCATCGTTACCAATCCACCTCACACACCTGTCTTCGTCTGTTACGATTGACTCTACCCCCCTTTTCGCTGCGCGAATTCATTTGAACATGTAAAGTCTTGCAGCTATAGTAATAATGCCCTCTTGACTGATTACCTCCACCTGGACACCATGAAGTCTTCACGCTGCCGCTTGGCATACCGCCACTGACACGACCGAAACTGACACGACCGCCGCTGACACGACCGCCACTGACACGACCGCCACTGACCAGACCGTCACTGACTCGACCACCACTGACCCGACCACCACTGACACGACCGCCATCCCTAGTCCTCACTCTGTGTTCTGAGGTGGACCACCTTGTGGAGACCCCTTGTTATTAGCCTTATGCGATAGACCCACGTCTAGTTTCATTCGTGTATAAAGTTTAATTCATCATAGCTGAAGAGCCTCCGTAAGAGAGGCCGACAGAAGCAGCCACTTATAGGTTGGACGGTAGAGCGACGGTCTCGATTCATGCAGGTCGGCATTCAGTCTCCGACCGTCCAAGATTTTTGGCACCATTCCTTTCCCCCGTCCTATCCTAAATCCTTGTCCTCATCCCTTCCAAGTGCTACATAACCGTAATAGCTTAGTGCTTTCTTCTGATAATTACCTTCCTTCGTCCTGCACCAGCCAATATATTGACCTCGTTGCTCGTACTGCAAAGGAATACTGTTCTTTTCAGCAACTTTATTGACTTACACTGTTCGTGTACGTAATACATGTTAGGTCAGTGACTGGTGTTTATGATGCTCTGGTGAGATTGACATAACACAAGAATCCCCGTAGTGTGAGCTGGAGGAGCAAATGAGACGCGCGTGTGTGTGTGTGTGTGTGTGTGTGTGATGTTGACTTAGACAATTATGACAATACTTGTTTGCCTGCGTCATGTACCCTGATTGTATTGCCTGTTGTGTCGAGGTGGGGCCAACACATCGTGCTGCTGCTGAACGGCAAGAGAGAGACCATCAGACACTCCCTCCCACTGGAGGTCACCACGCAGAGGAACAACGACACGGGCATCTGGACGGGCCTCGCCAGGATCCCAGTCACCTATCTCCCTCACAAGGTCAGTGAACCTCCCCCTCCCTTATACCCAGTGTTCTTACGAGTCTCTCTCCCTCTCTCAAGGTCATTGTTTCTCCCACCCATCTCATCCCTACCTATCTAGATCACTCTCTCTTCCCACTTATATATCTCCTCGTTCTTCATTGTTTCGTACCTCCCTCTCAAGGTCAGTGTTTCGTATCTCCCTTTCAAGGTCAGTTTCGTACCTCCCTCTCTATGTCAGTGTTTCGTATCTCCGTTTCAAGGGCAGTTTCGTACCTATCATGGTCAGTGTTTCGTACCTCCATCTCAAGGTCATCGCACCCTACTCGTGCATGTCGGCTTCCTTCTCGCTAGGTCGTCGCCCTCTTCCCTCCCTCCCTCCTGGCTCCTACCTCCTTCATAAAGTAAATACCTCAAGAGGAGGGTAGAAATAATCTTATCTACTCAGTCCTTTGGGGATGTATATTATCATCTCTGTAAAGTTACTTGAAGAAGTACCTCGCGTCCTGTGGTGCACATTCTTACGTTATCAACATAGGCTCCTTATACCTGTGATTAATATTGTGTACATCTGTCATGACGTAATTAGCTTATGTTTTGGACAATAACAGTGCAACATCCATATGAACTCTCGCGAACGCTCGCACTCATGCACTCACAATCATGCAAGCACACACACACACACACACACACACACACACACACACACACACACACACACACACACACACACACACACACACACACACACACACACGCGCGCGCGCGCGCACACGCGGACACGCGCACACACACACTAGCACACACACACAAAGAGTTAGTGAGTAAAGTAAAAGTGAGTTGTAAAAGTGAGTAAAGTAAAAGTAGTGAGTTAGTAAAAGAAAGAGTTAGTGAGGCAGACCCAGACATAGTGGCAATAGTGGAAACTAAAATAAATGGCATGATCTCGGATGCAATCTTTCCAGAGGGGTACCAGGTGATAAGAAAAGAAAGGACACAGAGACAGGGAGGAGGAGTGGCACTACTAATAAAGCGGAAATGGAAGTTGATGAGCTGGAAAATCCGGGTACCAATGAAAGCACAAGCTTCATACATGGAACTCTGACAGTGGATGGGAAGAAGATTGTAATCTTGATACTCTACAATCCCCCACCAAACAGTAGAAGGCCCAGGCAGGAGTACGAGGACAGCAACAAGACATGTATGGATGAACTGCAGAGGGCAGCAACTTTAGCGCATAGAATGAGAGCGAAGCTGCTGGTCATGGGGGACCTAAATCACGGAGAGATAAATTGGGAAACGAGGAATCCCCATGGCGGGGAGGAGACCTGGGGAGCGAAGCTGGTAGACGTTATTGACAGGAATTTCCTAACACAGCATGTGAAAGAAGATACTAGGGAAAGAGGAGGGGATACGCCCAGCCTATTAGATCTCATTATCACTCAGAATGTAGAAGACATCGAGCAGTTGGAACATGAAATACCACTAGGAGCTAGTGACCATTGTGTCCTAGTCTTTGACTACATGATGGAGCTTAAAATTGTGACCAAAGGACAAGAGGTCCGGGAAAGGAGACTTGATTACAGAAAAGGGGACTACAGAAGGATAAGGGACTACCTGGGAGAAGTGCAGTGGGAGGAAGAACTTAGAGGAAAAACAGTGCAAGGTATGATGAACCAAGTCATATTGAAATGCAAGGAGGCTGAAGATAGATTTATTCCAACAATAAAGGAAAAAAGCAGGAGGGAATATAATAACCCATGGTTTAATAGACAGTGTCAGGAAGCAAAGGTGAGAAGCAGGAGGGAGTGGAGGAAGTACAGAAGACAAAGGACAGAGGACAACAGGATTAGATGTAACAGAGCTAGGAATGATTACATTAACATAAGACGAGTGTCGGAAAGGAATTATGAGAACGATATTGCAGTCAAAGCGAAAAAGCAACCAAAATTACTACATAGCCATATAAGAAGGAAGATGTCGGTAAATGACCAAGTGACAAGACTGAGGAAAACAGAAGGGGCATACACAGAAAGCGACAAGGAAATCTGCGAGGTACTGAATGCAAAATTCCATGGAGTGTTCACAACCGAGCCTGAGCAGCTCCCATTGTTAGAAGAGATTACCCAAGATGAAAGACTATCGGATATAGAGGTGACAGCAGAGGATGTAATGAAACAGTTGACAACACTGGATGCAAATAAAGCTGTTGGACCAGACAAAGTATCACCGTGGATACTCAAAGAGGCAGCGCAGGCTCTCAGCGTGCCTCTGGCAATGATCTTTAATGAGTCACTTATGTTGGGAGAATTGCCCAGTTGCTGGAAGGAGGCAAATGTCGTACCGATTTTCAAAAAGGGTGATAGGGAGGAGGCACTTAACTACAGACCCGTATCACTGACAAGCATCCCCTGCAAAATTCTTGAAAGAATAATTAGGCTAAGACTTGTTGAGCACCTGGAGAGCATTGGGTTTGTAAACAAGCACCAACATGGGTTCTGGACAGGGAAATCATGCCTAACAAACCTTTTAGAATTCTATGATAAAGTAACAAGGATAAGGCAGGACAGAGAAGGCTGGGCAGACTGCATATTTCTTGACTGCCAAAAGGCCTTTGATACGGTACCGCACATGAGACTGCTATACAAACTTGAGAGGCAGGCAGGAGTAAGCGGAAAGGCCCTAGTATGGGTGAAGAACTACCTAACAGGAAGGAGCCAGAGGGTAATGGTAAGGGGCGAAAAGTCGGACTGGCGAACAGTAACAAGTGGAGTACCTCAAGGATCGGTGCTGGGACCAATCCTCTTTCTAATTTACGTAAATGATATGTTTACAGGAGTGGAATCATACATGTCAATGTTTGCAGATGACGCAAAATTAATGAGAAGAGTTGTGACAGACGAGGATTGTAGGATCCTCCAAGAGGACTTAAACAGGCTGCAGAGATGGTCAGGGAAATGGCTACTGGAGTTTAACACCAGTAAATGTAAAGTTATGGAAATGGGATCAGGTGACAGGAGACCAAAGGGACAGTACACAATGAAGGGGAACAGCCTACCTGTAACGATTCGAGAAAGAGACCTGGGAGTGGATGTGACACCTAATCTAACTCCTGAGGCACATATAAATAGGATAACGACAGCAGCGTACTCTACACTGGCGAAAATTAGAACTTCATTCAGAAACCTAAATGAGGAAGCTTTTAGGGCGCTTTACACTGCCTACGTGAGACCCGTCTTAGAGTATGCCGCGCCATCATGGAGCCCCCACCTGAAGAAACACATAAAGAAACTGGAGAAGGTTCAGAGGTTTGCGACGAGGCTTGTCCCAGAGCTACGAGGGATGGGATATGAAGAGCGGCTGAAGGAACTGAACCTTACGACACTAGAGAAAAGAAGGGAGAGAGGAGATATGATAGGGACATATAAAATACTCAGGGGAATTGACAAAGTGGAAATAGATGAAATGTTCACACGTAATAATAACAGAACGAGGGGACATGGGTGGAAACTGGAAACTCAGATGAGTCACAGAGATGTTAGGAAGTTTTCTTTTAGCGTGAGAGTAGTAGAAAAATGGAATGCACTTGGGGAACAGGTTGTGGAAGCAAATACTATTCATACTTTTAAAACTAGGTATGATAGGGAAATGGGACAGGAGTCATTGCTGTAAACAACCGATAGCTAGAAAGGCGGGATCCAAGAGTCAATGCTCGATCCTGCAAGCACATATAGGTGAGTACATATAGGTGAGTACACACACACCCACACACCCAGGAGGGGGTTTCAGTGTTATAAGCCTACGTTATCTTGCTATCTTTGATAACAGTTAATAATTTTGTTTAATTCACTCATTATTAATTCATCTCATAATGATAAGCGTCATGATTATTATTATAGTATATTGTGATTGATATTTATAATGTTACGTGATTTTCATTATAATCATTCCTCGTATAAATGTTGATGATAATAATAAGTCAACTTTATAATAATAGTCAAATAAATAATACTATTATTTTTATGATTGTTTATTTGTTATTATTGTATTATTATTATTATTATTATTATTATTATTATTATTATTATTATTATTATTATTATTATTGCTGACATGATGCTGGCTGTCAATGCAACCCGTCCTCTTAAAAAGAACGTCACTTTTGGCTGGTATGCGCACTATGGCCAAATTTGGACGTAATTTGAAATGAAATCCACTCACAAAAGTGACGTTCTGTTCCGTTTTCTATTTGAGTCGTCCGGCGTACGCGCAGAGGTTATAAGAGGACACTTTAAATTAACGTTTTTCATAACGTTTTGAAACTTTATGAGAATTTCCTGCCCACCTAACCTATCAGAGGACCCTTAACTTACTGTTGTTGAAAAAAAAAATCCCAAATTTATTTTCATATTTTTTTCAATTTCAAATTACGTCCAAATTCGGCCATACGGGCAAACGGCCAAAAGCGACGTTCTTTTTAAGAGGACAGGTTGGTCAATGTTACCACCGCCTATCACTCGCTAGCTCTTGACAAACAGCTACAGCCCCGCTCCTGTGCCAGGTAAGTCCACTACGGGCTCACCATAGCCCGTGCTACTTGGAACTTTTTGTGTGGTCCGAAGAGTAGCTGAATCTAAAACAACGCCGCATTGAATTGACAATTTTGCAGGTGAGCAAGTTCAACGCTTACGCCATCCATGGGTCCGGGGAGGCCAGAGTGTATGAGGCTCTCTACCCTGCGCCCGCCACGGCTACTGACCCGGACTTGTACGTACTCACACTCACACACACTCATGCACTCACAGTCTCACACACTCACACACTTGCACTCTCTCATACACTCGCACACTCAGGCGAAAATACTCTTTGTGAACATCTTTTGTGTTTCAGAGACACTTCAGAATGACTTGGTAAAAATTTAGAAATAAAACCTTGTAGCTGAAGATGTTTTGTGACTGATCAGAGAACAATTGTGCAGCAACCTTGGATGGACGGACACCCGACCCGGTCATCCTCAGGCGATGTTCGTCCAAGCTGCAGCCCTTCCCAAAGGCATATTTATACATTTCTCTATTGCGCAATATAAAGCGATATTTTATAAAATATATACATTATGTATATTTATAATTTATGTAGACGTGGTAGGTTCATGTGTGTTGGTTCTGTTGTCATTTGTTTGTATTTACAGTAAGTGGGAAGCAAATGTAGTATTTCTACACAGGGGGATGATGAGGCTGTTGAATTGATCAGCATTTGGTCAGTGTTTTGAAGAGATTGGTGAGCGTCTGTGGCTTGTGGAAGATCCACACATTATGTTTAGGCTGTCGCAGTCCATTCTCTAAACATTGATCAAATGAGTGTTAATCCAGCAGCTGCCCTTTCTGTTTATAAATGAAAAACACGACACGGGACTCACAATTGCTTAGGTTCGAAGTTTTGTCGAACAACACTTTGCTCACGTATTATGTTGGAAATGCAATACTCTAAATGCTTCACCCCCCTATTGTAAATAATATTAATTACCAAGACGACCAAAACCTACCCCACCCATTGCCTGTACACAAAACTAAAAATATGTAATGACATTAATATATATTACATTTGAAGACCAGGCTTCTAAATGACTCAGGTTGTGTAAATACAAAAAAATTGCTGAAGAACCGAAACACACATTCTAACCCACCTTACACACAAAACTAAAACATAAAGTTTATTTTTGCAATATAGGGGAACCGCCTCTGGATGGGAAGGGGACCCATAACCTCGGGAGAAAAACATATTATACAACAAGGACAAATTGAGGAATGCGACTTTGGCGACAGGCGCAGCTTGGGCGAGTTTGGCCTGAGGATGGGCTGGTTTTTCATGATTCAAGGTGCATGGAGGTCAGCTACTGCCCTGAACTGTGACCTCGACAATGTTATATCAGGCTACTTGGGAAAAAGATAGGGACTTCAATTATCAAACACATTTAATGTAATTAATATCCCAACACACACACACACACACATACACACACACACACACACACACACACACACACACACACACACACACACACACACACACACACACACACACACACACACACACACACACACACACACAGTTTATAATTGGTTGAATATAAACTTTCGTTTTATTTTTAAGTCCTATTTTTCTAAACATATTCAAATTTTGGAAAATATAAGTAGCCTAAATAGTAATGTAGTGTAGTTTATCATGTAAATATAAGTAATAATTTGAGAAGGTGACCTAACGAGCCATGACCTCTTCCACAGCCACGCCCTCCAGTACTTCCAACCCATTAACTTGACCCAGCTCCTCCCAGACCAAGCTGACGCCCCCATCAGCCAGTTGTGGACCGACTCACTTGAAGGGTACGTACCACAGTCCCTTCATACCACCTGGCCAGGGTGTACCACCTTGCCATGAAGAGACAGACAATGTTATAGGGAGGTAGTCCCTAATACCAAGGCAGGGAGGTAGTCCTGATACCATGGCATGGAGGTAGTCCCTCATACCATGGTAACTTAAGAATCAATGATAGCACCCGACGCCTTAGTCAGGGGACTAAGTGGGGACCTTAGTGGGGCAGAAAGCCTAAAACACCATGACTGAGAGGTGTGATATCATTGCAGTAAAACCGATGTGATCAACAGGTGGACAGATTAATCATGTGCTTTCACATACATGTTTGTGAAAGATCCTCACATTTTGTTTACTTTTTCCCCCCAATCTATTCACAAAACATTGGCCAAATAATTGTTAATACAGCAGCCGTCTTCCCTGTTTATAAAAGAAAAAATCGCACATGACACAGTTGCTTACCTTCGAAGATTTGTCGAGCAGTGCTTCGCTCACGTATTATGTTCGATGTGCTTTGCCGTAAGTATACAATACACGAATGTTTTGTCATATACTTACAACTTGCACGTGACTCGTGATAAACTTACAAGGCAGCCCTGTCAAAGGGTGGATGATCGTGAAGTGTAATGACTATGGCATGTCCGGAGCTCGGAGAGTATATGGTAAATAACGACTATGATCAGAGCTCGGAGCAGGTGTTAACTAACGATACTGCAACTGTTTTGATAGTGTGTTCCGGTACTCGATCACCACCACCTGGGATGATGTCCCCTTGGCCGGCCAGCCAGTGCAGTTTACCCTTCAAGGATTTCAGGTATGTGTGACCTGTTTATGGTTACCTATTTGTCATGATCTATATTTGGTTAAAGTCAGAATTGTGCTTATATAGTTTCCTGGCTTTCCTAGTAACTCGTAAATGTTTTTTTTATTGTTTTGAAGTTTCAAGTGTTGGCTGTTGATAATTGGATTAGCCTGTTTGATGGGAAGTGCCTTTGGTATGTCCTCTTATTGTCGCTATATCTTTTGATTATTTTGATATTGGTTGTCAGGATCTCTCTAGTGATCTGGTTGTGTGTAGAGACCGTGTGATCTTTTTACGGAGTATTGTTATTTGTGCATAATTAGGCGCCATGAAAGATATCGTCATCTAGCATATATACTGAGATCATTGGTGATTGTCACACAGTGGATGTGTAAGAAGGTATAGGAAATATTCAATGTATTTCAAGACTTTATACATGATGTTGGTAAAGTTCTTCTCGAGGAAGTTGGCAATCTTCTAAGTCTTGTTGTAAGTTACCAGTTTATCTTCTGTCCAGGGTTGGTTCTGTCAATTATGTCCTTCAAGACTTTCCTCCATCTTATGAGCAGTAACAAATAATTCCTGCAATAATTTAATAAGTGAACGATTCTGTAGCACTGACAACAGAATGAATTTACTTCTTCAACAGGTAAAGAAGTAAATACTTGAGAATCTGTCCTACTTATAAGAATATATTGCAGAAATTGGGTGAACTGTAGACATTCCTCATCCACAAAACAAGAAGGTTAAGAACAATGTCCTGAATGACTTCTTGTTTGGGTTTCTAAAGGCTGTTTTTAAACTGGCTTGTTATGTTTATTCTATTGATGAACTTTTGTTAATGTCCTCTTCTGGAGAGTGGTTTTGTGTGACATCTTCCCTTAGATCTGTCATCTTTACAGGATATGAGCGTCCTCGCTCTCAGGCTGTGCTGTTGTTCCTCTATTTTATTTCCAGTCCCAATCCTCATCACTTTATATTTGTCAGGGTTGAATTCCAGACGCCATTTCTCAGATCACTCTTGCTATATATTTTTGTGAGCCTCTTGTAAAGCTGTGCAGTCTGCTTTCTCTCCCTAGCACAGAATCCACGCCTACACACTCTAGCATGATGCCAGTTGGTAGTCTGATGTTACGAATCTGAATACTCTTGCAACTTGTCATATTTACCCTTGAATCAGTGTAGGCAATTTTAATAGCGTCCACTACCTCTCCCTCCATGAGTGTGTTGGGTAGGATAGGGGGGGAGGGGGGGTAAGGGCTGGAGGCAGGGGATAGGTGTTCGCGGCAAGAGTGCCACTGAGTGCCTCACTGATCCATGACCCACCCCTCCTGCAGGCTGGGGTAGAGATCAATGTGACTGCCCCGTTCTACAACGACCCCGCCCCTGATGGTCCCTCAGGTCAGCCCTTCTATGGTCTCTGGGACTATGAGGGTAAGTAATACTTTGTTTCTGCAATCCTTGTATATATCTCTCTCATTATATATATATATATATAAATAAAGTAAGACAAATCAATTATAATTGCAACATTTCCCAGCTAGGGTGCAAATATGTGTATATTTTACAAAGTTTTGTGGCGTGAAAATGACCATAAATCATGTCATGAATACCTATTACCACAAGCTATACTTGTATATTTCATTGACCTATTTTAAGTTAAATATAATTGCAGGACTCATTTGATAACTATTTCGTCTGCATTTTAAATATTTACTAGTTTACTAGCATTCTAAATTTTGTAAGAACGATAATTTTAAATTAGTAGTAATGACCAGTTTGGTTGAGATATGCTCTCTTGATCTTTGTGTATCTGAGAGCACCTCTATTATAATGAGCATCTTTATCTTTATCCGTATCTTTGACTCCTCCACTTCCTTCAGTAGATGACCTCGTGTAACTCATGCTCCCAATACCTCTGTTACATTTTCGGGCCATCGTCGTGCAGTGGTGGAAATGTTCTTCCTGAACGACGAGGACGAGTACCTGGAGGTGGAGCTGGGGCCCTGGGGCCAGCACCTGCTCCTCCTGCTCAAGGGCGAGAGGAACACCATCAAACACTCTCTCCCTCTCGACTACATTGTTTTGGAGAAGACCGATCCCGTGGGGGACACGCCGGTGGGTGGTCCCTTCGGGTGGTAGTGTAGTGGGTGGACCCTTGGGTGGTAGTGTACTGGGTGAACCCCCTTGGGTGGTAGTGTAGTGGGTGGACCCCCCCTTGGGTGGTAGTGTAGTGGGTGGATCCCCCCTTGGGTGGTAGTGTAGTGGGTGGTCCCCTTGTGTGGTAGTGTAGTGGTTAGCTATTTAATAATAATTGCAAATTTTCTCCTCATCGGGAGTGTTTTTCTCTCGTGATTCTCTTAAGTATTCTAGACGTATTTCACAAATGATCTCTCCTTATTTTATTTATGCAAAACTACTCGTAAACTCACTGATTGTCCATCAGAACATTTTTTGTTTTAATCTTAAAAATATATAGAAAGACAAATTGCATAACATTAGAGAAATTCATGTGGTAAACTTTGTTTCGGATAAAGATTGATGATTTGAGAGACGGTGTGCGAGGCAGATGATAATGTTTAAAATTGAAAAGAAATCTTTCACGACAGCAAGCCAGATATTTGTTATATCATCACAACAGGGAGAGTGGCGTGGGTCTGCCATGATACCTCCTGGCTACTTCCCCCCCAACGTCACCAGGATGAATGCCTACGCCATCCACGGTGTGGGAGACTCCAGGCAGTACCAGGCCCTCTATCCTGCGCCACATGGTGACCCAGACTATCCTCAGCCTGATTTGTGAGTGCCAGTCCTTGTTTAAGTCAAATTCTGCCTCGTCTTGGTTCCGTGAGCTGTAGTTAAGTGTAAAGAGTAATGTCTCATGTATCATGAAATCATAATTAGGTATGTGGCAGATATTTTTTCAGTTACCTTCAATTACTACACAATTTCATTTATGAGACGTGTTCTTAAGGCAATTATTTCTATCCACAGCCACAAGCTTAGTCTCTTCAGACCCATTGACTTCGAGTTTCAAGTGGCTGACAACAGCGAATACTCGGACGTTTGGCTGGAGGCTATAAACTCCGGTAGTACGACGCTCTCGGTGGGTTCGCCGCACAGGAGTCTGATAGTGGCTCTCCTGTCCCTGACGGTGGTTGGGGCAGCATGGCTGGCGGGGCGCTGGTGAGGGGAAAGCCTCCCCTTGTGGTGGTGGTGGTGGTAGTAGTAGTAGTGTAGAGGGAAATACCTGATGGTAGGTGGTTGTGTTCTCGGCCTCTTGCTTTCACTTTCTGACTTCCATCTGCAACACTCAGACCAGTTGTTGTGTACATACTCCCCCCCATGTCTTACTTCACTCAAATCATCTGCAACACTGAGACCGGATATTGCACACACTCCCCCATGTCCTACTTCACTAAATCATCTGCAACACTGAGACCGGATATTGCACACACTCCCCCATGGCCTACTTCACTAAATCATCTGCAACACTGAGACCAGATATTGCACACACTCCCCCCATGTCCTCCTTCATTCAAATCATCTGCAACACTGGGACCAGATATTGCACACACTTCCCCATGTCCTACTTCACTAAATCATCTGCAACACTTGAGACCATATATTTTGCACACTCTCTCCCATGTCCTATTTCGCCTAAATCATGTGCAACACCGAGACTGGGTGTTGCACACGGCTTTCCCATGTAACAGCAGAATTTTTAGTGTGTATTTTCCTAGCCACATGCTTGTCATAGCTTCTATACTGACATTACAATTGACCATTTTGTTTAACATTAATGCTAATAATAGACTATGCCTGATCATAGTAGTTTGGGTGGCAGGTGGTTGAAGATTGCATGGCAAATATAGATCTAATGGTGCATGATACGAAAAATTTGGTATTGTAGGTTCTTGCACGATGCTAATTAAGGCTATTTTTCTGTTTTCAGAGTTTACAAGAAGATGTTAAACCTCTCCATTAATTCCAAAATATTTTTAGATACTAACAACAGTAGTTCTAATTATGAATATGTTGTATGCAAATATTACTCTTATACAGATTTATACTTTTGATATTATTGTTTTATATAACTTAGATTTTTGTAGTTTTCATATATGTCATTTATATTAAAAATAAAATCTATTTGGACCCTATTTTGGTGAATGTGCAGCCGGAGTTTAAGACAGAGGAAACGGTGGAGCCTGTAACAGTCTTGAGTCTCATAATCACGACTGAGCCAACACCTGCCCCCACTTCTAAGCCAACACCTGCCCCCACAACTGAGCCAAAACCTTCCCCTGTGGCTGAGCCAACACCTTTCCCTGTGACCGAGCCACCGCCTGCACCCACGACTACTACCCAAGAAGATGGGAAACCTGAGGGTGTGGCTCGTCTCGGTCTAGTCCAGAAAGTGAGGGGACGACGACCACAGCCCCTAAGGGTACCAAGCACCCCTTTTAGAGATCAACGTTTAGCAAATGAGAATCGAGACACTGAACTAACCAGCGTAGGAAATCGTCGTACAACTCAGTTGGTGCCAAGTCCCCAGCGAGTCGGTCCAAGCAGAGGCCAGCTTGAGCGACGTCGTCTACAACAGTCGGTATTACCACCTGGCCAGTCTCTCACAGGACAAGAGCAGCAGTTCTCCGATCCGAATATTCAGCAACCTGAGGACAGAATTTTCCAGGATCAAAGGCGTGGACAAGAGAGCCTGCAGCTCCAAAATCAGCGTGTTCAGCAGCAAGGACAGCAATTCCAGGATCAGAGATTTCAAGAAGAGACCTCAAGTAAACAAGATCAACGATTCCAAGATCAGAGATTCCAGCAGCAGGATCAGAGATTTCAAGAAGAGACCTCAAGTAAACAAGATCAACGATTCCAAGATCAGAGATTCCAGCAGCATGATCAGGGATTCCAGCAGCAGGATCAGAGATTCCAGCAGCAGGATCAGGGATTCCAGCAGCATGAGCAGGGATTCCAGCAGCATGAGCAGGGATTCCAGCAACAGGATCAAGGATTCCAACAACAGGATCAGAGATTCCAGCAGCAGGATCAGGGATTCCAGCAACAGGATCAGAGATTCCAGCAGCAGGATCAGGGATTCCAGCAACAGGTTCCTCAGTTCCAAGACCCAACATTCCAGCAAGAGTCCGTCCATCTTCCAGATTCAGTGGCGAGTTCAGCCACCATTCCAGAGGCAGAGACTAAGGTGGAGGTGACCATCCCGGACGTGGAGGCAGCAGTGGAGGCCCTGGTTGAACAGACTGCCGCTCTGCCACCCCCACATCCTGTCTGCTTCGAGCCGGGCCTTGTGCCAGATGAACAACGTTGCTATGCGTTCCATGAGTGCGTACTAGAAAATGGAGCTTGGCAGGTGTACTCGTGGCGGTGTCGGAGAGGACACATGTATGACCCCGTCACTGTTGCTTGCGTTCGTGGAAGATGTCGAAGGCGTGGATGAGAGTAGTACAATATATATCCAATACACGGACGAAGTTCGACGATCTCGGACGTAGGTTCGAATCCTCGTCACGGCCCTTGTGGATTTGTTCATATATCCAATAGTTATAATAAACGCGTTGAAACCAATTGTTTGTGTGATGGTTTCTTTTTAATTCTCATTTAAGAGAGAAGATGATTGAAAACAATTATTGTATTGTTTATATAATATTCTGAATGAATTTTGTTGTGTGTGAGCAAGTGTATCATTGTGTAAATGAGAACTAGAATAAGCTAGAAGTGTTTCTCAGTGATCATTACATGTTACAAGTTAGATCATTACATGTTTCCGCTTATTTACGTGCTTACGGAAATTAAACCGTAATTCTAGACCAGTCTACGTAAAAGAATTTAGAAGTAGGGGAGAGAATTTCTCTTGACGCATCGTTATTGAAGCAGCTGGTTGTTATTTCTTGAAATAAAGACACATAAAGTAATTGTTGTTTGGTTGACCTGATGAACGCAGCAACTTCGCTTCCCCCTATCTCCATCTCTCACCTGACCAACTTGTTACCATCCTCCAGAACTGTGTACGATGAAGTACAATGAGGCTAATGAAACATTTGTTTAATAAATATTGTAAAGGAGAACCACGGTTGAGTGAGGTCCACTGGCTCTTGCACAATCCCGCCAGACATAATAGTTTCGTTTCTCCTGGTAACCCGAGTGACATGTTTGCCCTGTACCTTAAGCTACACTTCCTCGTCGAACCACATCAACAGGACGCAGTTGTGTTCTGGTATCGGCTTAGTATTTAAGGCCTACCAATCTGGAGGGGTTAATAAGGCCTGGCACTAGTTTACTGATTAACCAGCAATTATACTTTGGTCCTGAACATTGTTGAGAACTAAAGGATACGTTCAGTGTATAAACACAGGAACGGAGTATATCTGGCTAGAGAAGCCTAGTCTATGCTGCATGATAGGCTAGAGAAGCCTAGTCTGTGCTGTCTGATAGGCTACAGAAGTCTAGTCTGTGCTGCCTGATAGGCTACAGAAGTCTAGTCTGTGCTGCCTAATAGGCTAGGGAAGCCTGGTCTATGCTACCTGATAGGCTAGAGAAGCCTAATCTGTGCTGCCTGATAGGCTAGAGAAGTCTAGTCTGTGCTGCCTGATAGGCTAGAGAAGCCTAGTCTGTGCTGCCTGATAGGCTAGAGAAGACTGGTCTATGCTACCTGATAGGCTAGAGAAGTCTAGTCCGTGCTGCCTGATAGGCTAGAGAAGCCTAGTCTGTGCTGCCTGATAGGCTAGAGAAGCTCTAGTCTGCTGCATGATAGGCTAGAGAAGCCTAGTCTGTGCTACCTTTTACCCACCGAACATGTCACTGGGAGCCCTCGGAAACAAGATAGCATTGTTTGATAACCATGCGAACAGCCTTTAGAAACCTGGAAGATAACGTTCAGAACAATATATAGAGTTCAGTACAAGAGTGCGTATCAACAACACTGTACACACAGATGAATACAAGGGTGCCCACTGTTATGAACTCTATCTATTTTGGGTAGAGAGAAGTTATGTATTAATTTGTGTAGAGAGACGTTATATAAAAAAATGGGTTTAAATATCTCTTCATTTGGGTGTGGCTGCTGGCAGACCGCGGGTCGTCGATATCCCTCCGCTCAGCAAAGTAGTATCTTAATATATTTGGTGATTATGGATAATCGGTAGAATATATATAAAAGCTTTATTAATGAAAATTGGACTTCTTTATATTTGCTATAAGTAGAGTATTGTTAAATGGGAATGTTTAGGGATTATTCAGTGCTAACTGGACATGAGGGACGGACGACAGTGCGTCGTCGTCGACACAAGATGGAGGGAGACGAAGCACGGCTGGACAGAGGCTCCTGGTTTTAGCGAGTTTTCACTACGTCAAACAGTCAGATAAGCCCTAATTCACATTAATTTAACGTGCAGGATATCCTAATGTCATTTGAGTAAATGCGGAGCACCTAGAGAGGCCAGGTTTCATATTTGACCAGACCACACTAGAGGGTGAAGGGACGACGACGTTTCGGTCCGTCCTGGACCATTCTCAAGTCGATTGAGAATGGTCCAGGACGGACCGAAACGTCGTCGTCCCTTCACTTTCTAGTGTGTGGTCTGGTCAAACTACTTCAGCCACGTTATTGTGACTCATCACCTGCAGGTTTCATATATTTCCAAGTGTCTTAGATGATCTTATCTGAGTGGACAAGCAGTTACTAAGGTGTTTGCTAGACTAATGCGCATATGTTGAGCTTTAGATAAGTAAAGTCATATTGTGAAGATTTTGCCTATATTGATATTTATGGTTCTTGCTTATACGTAAAGTTTCATGGGGTAAGGTGTGGGAGCCGAGAGTGATTATTTTGTTTTACTTTGTAAATTGGCTGGACGGAGCCGGTCAGCCGAGCGGACAGCACACTGGGCTTGTGATCCTGTGGTCCCGGGTTCGATCCCGGGCGCCGGAGAGAAACAATGGGCAGAGTTTCTTTCACCCTATGCCACTGTTACCTAGCAGTAAAATAGGTACCTGGGTGTTAGTCAGCTGTCACGGACTGCTTCCTGGGGGCGGAGGCCTGGTCGAGGACCGGGCCGCGGGGACACTAAAGCCCCGAAATTATCTCAAGATCTCAAGATATGGACGGTAGAACGACGGTCTTGGGTCATGCAGGTCGCCGTTCAATCCCCGACCGTCCCATCTCAATTCCTTATCCTGACCCTTCCAAGTGGTATATAGTCGTAATGGCTTAGTGCTTTATCCCGATAATTACCTTATAATGTTTTGCTCGTTAGTGCTCGTATCTATTGAAAGGTAAAATTACCTTACCTTTCATTGCGAATATATATACTAAGAGTGTTACGTAAGCACCAGGATGATGTTATAGATTCAGCTACTCTGAACAAGTTCCAAGTAGCACGGGCTATGGTGAGCCCGTAACTTACCTGGCACAGGAGCGGGGCAAGTAGCCCGGGATATGGTGAGCCCGACACAGGAGCGGTGCTGTGAAGAGCACCAGGTTTGTTGTTGTTATAGATTCAGCTACTCGGAATAAGTTCCAAGTAGCACGGGCTATAGTGAGCCCGTAACTTACCTGGCACAGGAGCGGGGCAAGAAGCACGGGCTATGCTTAGCCTGAGCACCAGGAAACTGTGGAGAGTATTAAGGCGAGGGTTGGTGAGGTGGCAGGAGTCAGGGAGGGGCGAGGAGTCACGCTCCTTCAACACCGTCTCACCCACCACCACTGTCGGAGTTGAATCTCTTTCTCTCCATCTCTGCTTACTGGTGACAAGTTCTTACTTTAACATGTTGTGGTCGTATGTGCGTAATATGTCATGTTTGAGCTGTGGCAGGATACATGTAGTGTGTTAACCGTGCATGCTCCTGGTGGAGGCTGGCTCCTGACCTGCTTTGTGCTCCACACATTGTTTCACACTACTCCCTCATACTACTGAGCAGCAGCATATACAAGTCCCATGTGAAGCATCCAGTTGACGCACTGACGCAGGAGAGAGAGATTTGTGTAGAGGAAGTGACGTTTACGGACCTGGGTGTAATTCACATAATTTAAAGCAATTTATTCAGAAATACTGTGCTGTTTTGATAATTCAGAGTAACGACTACATGATGGCGTACCATGCTCATCGTTGGCATTCACTTCGTTAATACATTTAAAGTCAGAAGCATAAATATATATAACGAAGTAAATACAATACAATGATCATTCGAGAAGCTTTGGTATGATTGAGTGTTGCCACCGAAGGCGGCTAGTTTATTGTGCACCCCATACTCAACCTGTGAGCGGTAGCGCAAAAGCATTACAGAGGGCACAAAAGGTCTTTATCAGACCTCATCTTAGATTATTACATAAACAATTTCATCTATCCTTCACACCAAGTAAATTGTGCTTGTCTGGCTCCGTCAGCAGTGACGCAGTGCGGACCGGCGTCTTCAGGAGTCCTGCAGCGCAGGCCGTCGCCTTCATCAGCATTCATGAAGCACGGGCCACCGCCTCAGTTGGCAAGAGCTGGATGTTGGGTGTCGTGGTCATGGTGTGCAGCCGTACTGGTGCTGATGGTGGTGAAGGTGGTGGCAGGTGAGTGGTGTTGACGTGAAAGACATCACTCGTAGCAGTGTAAGAGGCCTATACCTCCTGTGTTCCTTCCTGGATCCCGATCACAGAATGAACATGTTGTGTGCGTGTGTGTGTGCTTACCTTGTTGTGTCTCCTGGCGATCTAGTTCTACAGCCCCACCCAAAGGCGCATTTATATCGCCTGACGTTCCAGTACTCTGTCGTATGTGTTCTTGAAACTGTGAGTGGTTGCTGCTCCATTCACAGCTTCAAGAGTAACTGGAACATTCAGAGAAGTAAATGAACCAGACACAATAGCTGGGAGGTGGAGCTCTAGAGCTAAATCTCGCTCTCCAAAGACAAATAGGTAAGCACATCTAATTAAAATACACACATTTTCACATGACACTGTATAACTTAACCGGTTCCAGTACATGGTCCAAAGCCTAACCGGCTCCAGTATGCGGCCCCACATCTAAATTCCAACATATTATTAAAAAGACGAGTAAATAATCATGAGAGGACATTTAAACATAATTGTAAAATATAAAACAAATGGCACGAAAGCCGGTTACTAACAAATTATACACAATGCTCGGATATCTCTACACCGTCATCAGGCTCGGCTCGTTAAAGCAGCGGCCATCCTACAAGACTCATTCGTCTTTATTAACGAATTGCGTTTTATAAGTAATAAAATTACCCCTTTTTCCTCATAAAAATTAATATTTTTATAGTTGTATGTAGAGTTAAGCATAGGTTTGGGTTCTGAAGACAATTATTTGCATTTAAAGTACATAGGTGAAGCATTTACGCAATCCATCCTTCAGCCCGAGCTGTAAGTTAAATGCTGATTTACTTTATTAAGCTAGTGCCAGTTTTTTATTTATTTAGCAAATAGGATGAATCTGCCATACAGTATAACAACATTTTGTTCTTAAATGTAAATTAATATTATTGTAAATTGTGGGTTTATGTATAGTTAGGTCTAGGTTAGGTAGGGAAAGGTGTCTTTTGTTGCGTTGATTTAGGAAGTGTTTACAAGCTGAAAGTGAAGGAAGCACGTTTGGAGTCAGCCTCGAACATGGCTCGGTGGACTATGTCCAAATGCTAACTTGTGTATTTTCTGTAGTCAGTGTTTGACTTATATGTTACGAACCTCACAGGCTTTTGTTTTGATGATGGCTTCGTTCACCTTCGGCTTGTAGTGTAAACACTCCCTAAATTAAACGTAACCAAAACACCTTACCTAAGGTAACGCTAATAGTCACATTCCCTCGACAGACAAAAGGCCATTTCCTCCCGGTTCTCCATCTCAAGTACTGCCAGCACCGCCACCACCAGCAGGAGCCCAGCAGGCAGGGGAGGACGGTGCTTGGTCAGAGTTCCTGCATATTAGCGTGACGTCGTCTCCTCACCTTTTACTCATCACCGTTAACGGTGAAGTGGTAAGTCTTCATAGCAGTGTCACTTAACAGTGAAATAGTGACTCTTCATAACTGTTACTGTTAATAGAAAAAGCTTTGTACAGCTACCCATGTATTTTCGCTGGTAAGTTTATCATTCAAAGTTTCCCCCTCGATGCAGTGAGATTCGTACGGTAATATTTATATTTACTTAAAATGTTTACAAACATTGTATCAGTAGTAGACTAAATATTTAGATCCGCAATATTTTCAAGAATTTCTTCATGTTTGCCACTTCAGAGCTGATCACCAACCATGTTAGTCGCCTTTCTGCCTTCCACCCATCTTATTTGAATATAATATTAAACATATTAGTATATTTCTCACTCTTTCGAGAATAGAATTGATGCTCCTTGCCGTAATGCTTTTAATCTTACAAGATCATACTAGCCGACTAAACCCTGTGTGGCCTGCCATGTTACAGTCTTTGTGCGGCCTTGTATATCCCTGAAACCTATACATTACACCTCCCGGATAAACTCACACGTAAACTTTCACTTTAAATATGACCGTGTGACCATATTAGCTGCATCACATCTTCATGGCATTATAAACTCACAACCTGGCCCTGTAGGACCTTGCATGAGTTTTGTGTGAGCCGTGATGTCTCCGGCAGGTGGAGGAGGTGACCACGACGAGAGCCAACATCAGCACCAGCAGGCTGGAATACACGCCCTGGGAACTCTCCTCTGGTATCCATCTACTTGTTCTTCACCCTACTGACGGTCGTCTCATGATGCGACGGTATGTGTGTGTGTGTTTACTCCTTTATTTATGCTTACATAATTGAGCTTTAGCTCTTGAACCGTATCTTTCTAGCCGACAGTTGTCTAATGCGTTGCCTATACTGACAAAGATGATCAGCTCTTATCTTGTAGAATGTATACAGGAATAATAATGTTACATTTGTTGAGCTCTAATGTGAAATAAAACAAATCAGAAGAGCTGTTAGTGGTGGTGTACCTTGCCTGTTATGCCGTTATCCTCGCGAGAGCTTCGTCCTTGAATCTGATCTCCCTTCCTGCAGGATCCTGACGACGGCGCTGTTCGGGTCAGTCCACGAAGTGCCGAGCGTTCTCAGCTCCCTCACGCCGGGTCACGTGGTCGTCATGGCGATCAAGGTCAGGGTATATCATGGTCTTGTGAGAGGAGTTGATTTGTCCAGCATCCTGGTGGTGTGCGACATGACCTGGTCTTGTGTAACCTGACCTGGTGGTGTACGAATAAGACAGTCTCGGGCAAAATAATCATAAACACGTCAGAAAATTATATACAAAAAATCATAACGTGTAAAAAACTAGAACAAATAACTATAAATATTATACATAATAATACCAGGAACTAGAACTCTAAATCCGCCAGACTTCTATACCATTGTTGCACTGAGTACGTTCACACCTTTTTCACCAGTAAAGTTTCCATATAGGATTCATTGTTTACCTCAAGACAACAGGTGAGTATAGTTAGTGTGTTATATCCTTCAGAACGATGCCGCTCAACACCTGACGCCCCTGGCGCGGAGATTGTTGGCGAGGGTGGGGGTGCGGTCAAGCCTCAGCCTGCACCTGCGGGAGTCCCTGGCCTGGGTAGGAACTCTGGCAGGACCTGTGTGGGGGGAGGCCAGGACAATGGGGGCCTTCGAGGAGGTGGTCGGCATCGTCGATTGGGCCTCTGGCGTCACGCTCGACCTCATGGTACCTCGAGTAGTTCATGGTTGGTAACTAAGAGTATTATGTTAAAGACGCAAGTCATAAGGGGTTACAAGCCCGGGGTCGTCTCCCAGACTGGGGGGCACACGTCAAGTCTGGGGTCACACCTCTGGCCTGAGGTCACACCTCTGGCCTGGGGTCACACCTCTGGCCTGGGGTTACACCTCAGGTCGGGGCTAAGCATCTGTGTCTTGGGTCGCTGGACGTAGCCAATAATGCATTGCGTTATGTCCCAGGTGTAAATGGTAATGATTGGTATAAAAATATGTGCAAGAAATGAAAGTTCTGCATTATACAGTTGGTGTCCCACCAGATGACTCCTGTCTGACGGAGGACGACGCGGGCGAGGCGGCCAGGACGGCCTTCTGTAGGCTATATGATGGCTACGGTGACTTGTGTTATTGTCCCCGCCCCGCCCCCTTGACCTTCCACGCCCCCGAGGTAGGTCGGTCCTGTTCCACACGTCCAGAACATTGATATTGTTCAGGTCCCTCAGTTTGCACCAAACACTTGTACGCATGTTTTAATTATTCATTTAGGTATATTACTGGTTATTGTTAATTTGAGTATACTGTTTTCTCTAGTTTTGAACATTAATAAACTTGGGTTGTACTAGGCTGTATTATCCATGATTGGAATGCTAATGAATAACAATGAAGCACTACTGAAGTCTTAGTTGCTTTAAAGGACGCTGTACCACAAGCTACAACGACCTACAGATGACCATATCTTGTATGTTTACAGTTAGAGGGCAGCACCATACTGGACGTGCCTCTCCTGGTGCTAGCTAGCAACCGCCCCACCTACCTCTACAGGTTAGTCGGCATTCAGGTGGCTTGACTACCAGCAACGTCCCTTCCTCAGTGACCGTGATCCAGTGTTTGTGCACACACACACAGAGGTTTCCCCACTTCTCGGTGTTGATAGACTGAGTTTACTTTAGTCATAGACTGAAAAATATACTTGCTGGGTGATCAGTAAGGTACTGTCATGGACTTGATAACCCTCGTGCAGCTGATAGACCTTAAGGTTAACCCCAGTCAAAAAATCCAGCGTTTGTGCAACTGATTGTCAGTTTTGGGTCAGCACAGTGTGGTATACTTACCGAGAGGTGCACCCCGCTTCTCTGGGTATGTACATTGCCAGTTTACTTTAGTCCTCGACTATGTTCAGGACTAAAGTATTCCGGGGGTTGGTCAGCAAGCAATTGTGGTGGTCTTAATAACCCTCATGACGTTGATAGGCCTTAATTCAAAAGCAAATATTTTGGCTGTACATTTTTGTACATCCAAATATACTTTTTTGTACATTTTGTAAGTTTATTTTACAACAATCGTTTAGAATAAAAACTAGTACAAAAAAAGAAGAAGGAAAACCAAAAAATAAAACATCATCCTAACCAAATCAATAGGCTTCATCTAACATAACCTATACCTAAGTCTAGCCTAGCCCGAGGTTAGGTTTTATTGTTTCTTATTTATACAAGAGTTCTTATATTCTTGAAAATGTAAGTTATGATAAGGTAGGCCTAAATTATTTCGGGATTGCTTATTTGCAACTGATATTAGTTAAAAAGTTTATTTTTAATTTTTAAATCTTGAAAAGAATACTGAACCCGCCGTATGTCGTGTCAAAACAGCTACTACTTTTTGCTTTATATTGTATTGTCCTATTTGATTAACATCGTCTCCCACCTGCGCTGTATTCAACTTACATTTGCTAATTGGACTGTCTTTTTAAGACTGCGGAAAGTGAGAGTGGTGAGGGAGCAAGGTTCTTCACAAAGCCAATGGTGTCCATTGGCTTTGGATACCATCACTTTGCTGTTCGCTAAGCCTTGAAACCTGGAATGGAGTTTAAGTGAAGCGGTTGCTCCCTCACCATTTGCACTAACTACAAATAATAACGTACTGCTTGTGGAGTTGAGCTGTGCTATATGGGCCATCAGGGAGTCGAGGTAATCTTGGAAGCTGTGAGGCAAGGACTGACTGGTAATGGTGTTGCAGGAGCCTGGTGACGCTACTGCGGCAGCCGGGAGGAACTCTGGCGAGGATCCTGGTGCTGGTGGATGGGCACCATCAGGAGGTGGCCGACCTACTCTCGCTCCTCCAGGTTAGTGAGGAGGGGTGGTAATGAGGAGAAGGATAGGAGCGATAATGCAGGGTAGAAAAGGTGAAGCAGAGGGCATGGGAGAAATGGGGATTTGCAGGGAGGTGATCCACAAGCATTGTGCTAATTCCCTGGGCCTGTTTCAGGTGCAATACGAGGAGCAAAGTTCTGTGGGTGTCAGTATTGGCGCCAAAATCTCAGACCACTACCGTCACGCCCTCACCGTCGCCTTCAGACGCTTTCCAAATGCTTCCAAGGTCATACTGATGGAGGAGGACTTGCTCGCCTCGCCAGACTTCTTCAGGTAAGTCTTCGCCTTCGCAACCAGAATTACTTCTCACGCCTAAATTTTTGTTAGTATCTTGGCTATTATTATACATGTTTTGGCTAAACCTCTCTAACGTGTAATCCTCTTTAATTGCCTACTATTGATAACCACTACTGCTGCCGTTTGCTGCTAAGAATACTCTTACCTTGCTTGCAGTTACTTTAACCAGACAGCGAGGGTGCTGGAGGTGGACCCGTCTGTGTGCTGTGTGAGTGGCTGGAGTGATCTGGGACACCTTCACTCGGCTCATGACCCTCACCTCCTCCGCCGAGTTGAGGTCGTTGCTGGCCTGGGATGGATGCTCTCCCGGGACACCGCCATGGCTCTCTTACGCAGGTGGCCCTCCCATAATGAGGTGATTATTATCTATTTTTCCATTACCCTCTCCCCTTTTAAGTTCTTTCTCCATAGTTTATACTTTCTTCGCATCCCTCTTTCTCTCATTTCCACCCCCATCCCTTTCCACAACCTGAAGTAATTTCAGCAGGTCAATCACTTCCTGATGGTAACCGTTCAAAAGCTTAGGGATCAGCTCTAGGCAGCATCACCAGGCTTCCACAACATGAATATCCGCGTCAGTTTCAAGCTTAGGATGCTGATGTAAATACGATTATCCAGCTGCCGTAGAAACTGTGTATGCAAAATTTGAGTTAAGAATTAATGTATTGACCCCTCTAAATCCCCCAGATCCCCAGGGATACTTTACATGTGATGGAATAATATAAATATATGTGTTTATTTGGGTTCTGATCAATACGTGTGGGTCAGTATGTGAAGGACATGGTGACCAATCAAATGAGGTGCTGGGTTGGTTAGAGCCGGGTCATGTCGGCACCGAGGGACCTGTGACTTGTGTTTAACTTGCAGTCTTCTAAATTTGTCTGTGTTCACCAACTGAAATGATTATCTCAATATCACTACGATAGGATTAAAAGGGATAGTAATAGCCTATCTACGATAAGATTATAAGGGATGGAAATAGTCTATGAAAGAACTAAAAAGGACGGTAATAAAATTGAAAAGGAAAGGAACATAACACACGATAGGACAATTTTATTTATCGTATACGTTGTATACGATAAATACAACTTATGATAGAATAGCTTACCTATGATCATGGAAAGTATTGTTTGACCACTTGATTGATGAAGATTAAGCCACCGAACATGTGGCACGGGCATGAATATAGCCCGTAAACCTCTTGCATCATATATGTATTGTTATGTAGTCGTAATGGCTTGGCGCGTTTTCCTGATACTTACCTTTCGCCATGTGTGAGCAGGACCACGACTGGGACATCTGGGTGCGTCATCCCGGGGTGCTAGGGGGCAGGGAATGTGTCGTTCCAGACGTCAGTCGCACCTTCCACATCGGCCTAATGGGTTCCCACGCTGCTGGTCTCCTCCACACCGCCTTCTTCGCCAACAAGCCCATCCCGGCCCAAGCACATTTCCCTCTCCAGGGCGTCCACAGGTAGGTCGTTTGAGAGTTCTTAAGAGGGCGAGGCTTAAGGCTGGGGCGAGGCTCCCAGTATTTTTGTTGTTGCAATTACGGTTTTGTATGACCCTCGTGGTTTGTTTTCCAGTGCATGCATTCTTGACCTCTATGTGCCTGTTTCCGGTGGAAATAAGAACATGAGGACAAAGGAATGGCTTTTGACCCATTCGCGACAGCGCCTATTTTTGTCCAACCACTCGTATATTTGTCTATAGTTTGCAGTATTGTCTATTATCGCCATATCTTAAAGTAACGAATACAAATAGAACTTAGTAGTAATGTCAAACTGTATTAATAAACCCAGTGTGTGTTCTTGATACTGATCCAGGCTAACGGAGATGGAGTACGAGGAGGATATTTACCAGGTGTTGGAGGGCGACCCATACGTCCTCCACTCTCGCATACACCCGTGCCACCCTGACTACCTCCCTCGTAACCTTACGGTCAGTGATGCCCAGTGCTTGTACCCGTGATGCTAGCGAGCTACAGGTGATGGTGTGAGGCTTCACAAGGGTTTCTCAGTATAATACAGTATTGTCGCTCAAATGATAATTAATTACAAAAGTGGCCGTGCGTGCTCAGAACAATATGTTGCAACATGACCTTTATGAAAGTAATAATCTCCAACCCTTGCATGGTTGTTCAACAGGACCGGCCTGTGGTCGTGTTCATAGAGATGTCCGCCCCGGGGGACTACTACGCCTGGCAGGTCCTCGCGCGGGTGAGTTACCTCTTATATATGGGTCACTATTGTTTATAAACCAGCCTCTTGTTTTGTGATCCACCATCTGGTTTATGGACCACACCATTGTTTGTAATCCACACAAATGTTTGTGGTCTAGACTCTAGACCCTTGTTTGTGGAACACTCTCCCCCTTCCCTTCCTACATTAGAGCCAGTGCATTATTTGCAGGTCAGACCGTCTTTTGAGGCTCGTCTATATTGTGCGAGAGATTCGCCCCTGGATGATAAGTGGGCCTCTTGTGTGTTACTGATTGATTGATGCCTGAAACGTGTGTTACTCCCGTGTTCGGCTTCTTATGCTATAATTACTAACCAGACCACCAACCATTTAATCCACGTGACCCTATCTATGTTACAGTGCCTGGGACTGTGGGACCTGGATACCCGGGCTCACCACCGGGGGCTCTTCAGGTTTTACTTCTACGAGACGGAGGTGCTGGTGGTCGGGTTCCCCTTTAGTGACTACAGGTACGTCCTCTTCACAAATTTCTTCGCGTCCCAGTATTGTTTTCGCCGTTTTCTTCGGGTGCTGTTTTGAGTTTGAATTCCATTATTTGTGGCGTTCAGCATGCTGATCACATACTGGAAACGGACCGTGTTGCAGTGGTAGTTTGAATTTGACCTGGGCTCTTAAGATAGACCTGGGCTCTGAGACTGATCCCTGACTAGACTGAGGTTGAAAATATCTGAATCACTCTATTTCTATAATTCGTACTTCATAAGATTCTTAAGTAATTAAATGACTGTGTTTAGTTAGCTAACAGGCAGGAGCAGGACTACCACGTGTGTTCTTAAATTGAGGACAAATTGTATGGAAGAAAACATTAAACAGAATTTGTGGGTACTTCCGCAGTTCTTGTATGCCTATGACCATTATTTCGTTTCTTACCGACGCAGAAATGCGCTTTTTTACGTATTTTTGTAAAATAGGATTACGTATACAATAGCAATTAATATTGAATGATTATTTTTCGTTATGACGATTTTTCTTGTTTGTACAGCTACCTGAAGCCTCCCGGGGCGCCCCTGTTGGCGGTGAACACCAGTAAGGAGCTCAGCGCCCTCGACCTCATCCCCCTCACCCACCGTATTCGCTTCAGGAGGCCCGAGCTGGAGCTCTTTGTGCCCTACCACGTGCTGCCGGTCCCTAACCTCTGACCCGTGTCTGCTTCAGGAGCCCGGAGCTGGCGCACCTGGTGCTCTATCAGGTTCTTGTCTGGATCCTCGTCTTGGGTGACTTCACGGTCTCCGAACAGTAATATAGGTATATATATATGCATATATATATATATATATATATATATATATATATATATATATATTATATATATATATATATATATATATATATATATATATATATATATATATCTGCAGAAAATGATGCATCAAATGTATTTAGCACAGCACACAGTAAATAGTTGCAATAGCTTGCACATTAGAAAACATCACAGTAGCTTGTAGCATGTCCCATTAGTGTAAGAAAGCAGGAATTGCATTATTCTATTTTGTTCGGATTCGGTTGATTGACAAAGACAGTTTTGATGTAGGCATTACGAGTGACGTGTGAGGTTGGGAAGGATCTGAGGCAGTGGAAGACTAACAGAGCTCTGTGCCTAATGGCACTCCATCAGACTCGCCACTTGCTAAACATCTGATTTGAGGTGGTTTTAAATAAACAGTTTGTGTATAACGCTAGATCAATCCACCAACCCTATTAAGGCCGATGCTCATAGTGCGAGAAAACGTCCAAATTGGGGCGTATTAATTCTACAGAAACTACAATTTGCAAGTTGGTGTCCATAACGTTCAGAGGCTGCTCCAGCTTGCATTAGCGAGCCATTGTCAAAATTTATTGTGTGTAGGTTGGGGAGGCAGTATAGAGAAGTCCATGTGTACTATATTAACTTTACTGGCGTAATAGTGATTCGCCGTAGAACATATTCTTGTTTGCAGGCGATGAGTCACAATAACGTGGCTAAAGTATGTTGACTAGACCACACACTAGAAGGTGAAGGGACGACGACGTTTCGGTCCGTCCTGGACCATTCTCAAGTCGATCTCACAATCGACTTGGGAATGGTCCAGGACGGACCGAAACGTCGTCGTCCCTTCACCTTCTAGTGTGTGGTCTGGTCAACATATTCTTGTTTGGCCAATACAAAATAGGTCATCTTTGTGAATGCATGCTGGTGAAATGTGCAAGTCTCGTTTGTAGATGTTATTTCACTTATCAAGATGTATATAGTGCAGAACCATGAACTCCACGGTTGTTTACTACTTCCGTTGAATAAACAAAAAATTAATTCGTTGATATTTGTGAATTTCGGTGGTTTTCTGGAACATTAAAAATTAGGTAGGACACATTTACTTTTGTTAGCCTTACAATTTCATTTTCTCTGAAGCTGCAGAAAGGAAAATGACATTTTTCGGGATAAATAGCCTATTTACGAGTTTAATATATAGATTATTTTTTATTTAAAGACCAACTTTACATTTCTAATCTTGCTATATAGCTTGTATTTCTACTTTAGATACCTTCAGTTCCTCGCGATTATGCTGTGAATAATATAATATTTTTTTTCTGTTCCGTATCTTTATTTTATAAATATTATTATTAAATGCATAATAAAAAAAACTAACAGGATTTTTTCAATTGACAAAAGCAAATATTGAGTAAACGGATGAGAGAATTGAAATAAGTTTATTGAGGTGGCGAGAAAATAACAAGTCCAAGAAGGGGGAGGAGTAGGATGAATGTCAACACAAGGGAGTAGGATGAACAGTAGTTCTCGCCGTCGCCGCTAGGTGGCTCTGGTTGGCGGCGCTTCAGAAAACGGAGCTCTTGCCGCCTCATTCAAATTCTTCCCCTGATAGTGCTGGTTTAAATATTCAAATGTTTCCTTTAAAACTTATGACGAAGATACTTGGCTGTAGTAAAGCTTTAAAATATGATTTGGTCCCTTCATTTGCGTGCAATATTTACCGGTTTCAAGTGACGCTAAAATATATCAAAAGTATAGGCACATCATTGGTGTATTTTAATATAGTATTGTTACGTCAGTTGTAACAATAAACACAGTAGTAAAATATATATAATTGGAGGAATTCAGTATACAGAAGCCTGCAGGTGAAGCTTGGCAAGCAATGGTATGGCGGCGAGTTGGTCAGTCAAATGTTAAAATGCTGGCTGATGAATGTTGGTGTCTGTGGTATCTCTTGAGCGTCTGTCTGTACTCAACCACTTGTTGTTGTTATAGATTCAGCTACTCTGAACAAGTTCCAAGTAGCACGGGCTATGGTGAGCCCGTAGTGGCCTTACCTGGCACAGGAGCGGTGCTGTCTCAACCACTATTGGAGTTAGACTAACTTCGAATCAATTGATTGATTGATGAAGGGCCACCCAAAAGGTGACACGGGCATGAATAGCCCGTAAGTGGTGGCCCTTTTGAGTCATTACCAGTATCAATAGATGCTACTGGAGATCTGTGGAGGTGCGACTGCACCCTGCGTGACGGGAGATGTCTCCCGTGACGAATCGATTGATTGATGAAGATTAAGCCACAACAAGAGGTGGCACGGGCACGAGTAGCTCATAGGTGGTAGATGTGGATGCGACGCGACGCTGACGCGGTTACCGCACGTTATGTTGTATCTCACCACCGCAACGCCCCGCGGGGATTACATTCAGCATGTCCACAATTGTGTATGTGTGTGTACTCACCTATTTGTGCCTGCAGGATCGAGCATTGACTCTTGGATCCCGCCTAAATCCTTGGATCCTGTGAATGAGGTCCACTGGAGGAGTGTGTGTGTGTGTGTACATACTCACCAACTCGCCTAATTGTGTTTGCAAAGGATGAGCTTTGGCTCTTTTTCTCTCGCCTACCAACTGTTAATCATCTGGTGTACAGTACCCTGAAATTATTGGGCTCTGTCAGATATGGAGTAAATGCTGACGCCGCTTACTCCGGGACTGGCCTCACATATGTGGTATACAAGGTTCTGAATAATTCCTGACACCCATTTTTAAAGGTAATTCTGATATTAACCAACCTCGAATATGCCGCTGAAGATATCCTCTTTATTTGAACTTGAAGAGAAAGTTTAGCGTCATATCACCACCAGATCCTTCTCCGTTCATGAAGGATTTCATCTCCCATTTGGTACTTGTGTCCAGCCTAGTTTTATTACTTTACATTTGCTTGAGTTAAACTCTAGTAGTCATTTGTTGGTCCATTCTTTGTCTTTCAAACTTTCTCCAAGTCAGTTTGCAGCCTCTTGCTGTTTTCCTCTGTCTTAACCATCTTGAGGTTATCTTGAGATGATTTCGGGGCTTTTTAGTGTCCCCGCGACCCGGTCCTCGACTAGGCCTCCACCCCCAGGAAGCAGCCCGTGACAGCTGACTAACACCCAGGTACCTATTTTACTGCTAGGAAACAGGGGCATAGGGTGAAAGAAACTGCCCATTGTTTCTCGCCGGCGCCTGGGATCGAACCCAGGACCACAGGATCACAAGTCCAGCGTGCTGTCCGCTCGGCCGACCGGCTCCCCTTAATCCTCATAATTTTTGCACAATCAACAAACATTGACTCATTTGACTCTGTTCTCTTTAAAAATCATTTACATTAATGACAACAGGAAAAGTCCGAGAACTGAGCCCTGTAGGACTCCACTAGTGACATCTCTGAGATCTCCCCCCTCACAGTAACTGAGGAAATGTAGATGTTTATCTCTCAGAATGTTTGGTAATATGTTTATTGTTTGTGATGTGTGTCTATGTATGTATTAACACGATGTACTGGACGGGGTGAGAATAGCTTGAGCTACCTCATCCCTTTGTGTGTATTTTACCTCAATAAACTTATTTCAATTTCAATTTCACAGTAACTGTGTGTGGGGGGGGGGGGAAGGTGTATGTCTGGGTATACAGTATATATGTGCGTCTGATATGTCGATGTTTACTGATGATGCAAAATTAAAGAATTAAAGAGAAGCGTCGAGACATAAGGATTGCAAGATTCTGAAACATAAAGCTGCAGTGTTGGTTCTAGAAATGGCTACTTGATTTCAGCACAGATTTATACACATTGCCCGCGCACTCTGGCTGTGGTATGGGAATTTTATCCCCACCCCGGTCCGCCGAGCGGACAGCACGCTGGACTTGTGATCCTGTGGTCCCGGGTGCGGTCCCGGGCGCCGGAGAGAAACAATAGGCAGAGTTTCTTTCACCCTATGCTCCTGTTACCTAGCAGTAAAATAGGTACCTGGGTGTTAGTCAGCTGTCACGGGCTGCTTCCTGGGGGTGGAGGCCTGGTCGAGGACCGGGCCGCGGGGACACTAAAGCCCCGAAATCATCTCAAGATAACCCCCACCTCCTTTCCCAATGTTTCTCTTCAAATGCACAAAAAAAGAGTAACATGATGTATCAATGATAAAATCAGGAGGATTTTAACTTGCGCACTGAGTACTCCCAAGCACACGTCCTACAGCCTGTCCTCCAAACAAAAACCCAAAAGTGATTCCATCCACCCGCCAACCCCCCTGTTTATGAATGAAAAACGGTTTACACATGACTCACAACTGATTTCGTTCGAACACTTCCAGAACAAGTGCTTCACTGACGAATTTCGTTCGAACCACAACGCTGTAAATGCAGCCCGTCCTCCAAACAAAGATCCAAAAGTGATTCCATCCACCCGCCAAACCCCCTGTTTATGAATGAAAAGCGGTTTACACACGACTCACAACTGCTGACGTTCGAACATATCCGGAACAAGTGCTTCACTGAGGAATTTTGTTCGAATTCAACGCTGTAAATGCTTCACCCACGTACTACAAATACAAATAATCGCCAACAGAACATAAACACCTAACCTAACCTATGTCTATATATGCACAATATGCTAATATATTATAATATTAATTTATATTTGAAAAAATTCCCGTTTTGAATGAACAGCATGTAAAAATTAATGAATGCGTCTGTGGGGTCGACCGGTGGATGGAATGGACTTGAGTCGAGGACGGGTTGCGCCCTAAACCACTAGGCCAAGTTAATGTGATTTCCTTGCGCATTTGAAGAGGAGTGTTAGTGATGAAAGTCGTATACCACAGCCGGAGTGCATGCCGGCCATGTGTGGAACACCCGACTCCTGACTTTGGGGTCACATCTTGGTGTAACATCTTGTGACGTGGCACGGGAGACATCTCCCGTCACGCAGGGTGCAGTCGCACCTCCACAGATCTCCCGTATCATCTATTGATACTGGTAATGGCTCAAATGGGCTACTACTTACGGGCTATTC